AGAATGCCTACCTAACAAGGATGTGAAGATGAAATGAGAATCCATGAGTACCAAGCTTTAGACGTATTTTCTTTTCTTTTTTTTTTTTTTTTTTTTTTTGAGACAGGGTCTCACTCTATCACCCAAGCTGGAATGCAGTGGCATGATCTTGGCTCACTGCAACCTTTGCCTCCTGGACTCAAGTCATCCTTCCCAGCTCAAGCAATCCACCCGCCCCAGCCTCCCAAGTAGCTGGGATTACAGGCATGTGCCACCATGCCCGGACTAACTTTTGTATTTTTCTGTAGAGATGGGGTTTCACCAAATTGCCCAGGCTGGTCTCAAACTCCTGGCCTCAAGTGATCCTCCCGCCTCGATCTCCCAAAGTGCTAGGATTACTAGCATGAACCACCATGCCTGGCCTTAGACATATTTTCCTAGACAGAAATTTCTTAAAACAATAATCTCCATTGAACACCCCTGCCTGGCATATTATCATAGCTCAATAAAAAATTGTTAACAAGGGCCAGGCGTGGTGGCTCACGCCTGTAATCCCAGCACTTTGGGAGGCTGAGGTGGGTGGGTCACGAGGTAAAGAGATTGAGACCATCCTGGCCAACATGGTGAAACCTCGTCTCTACTAAAAATACAAAAATTAGCCAGGAATGGTGGCAGGCACCTGTAGTCCCAGCTATTCGGGAGGCTGAGGCAGGAGAATCACTTGAACCCAGGAGGCAGAATTTGCAGTGAGCCAAGGTTGCACCACTGCACTCCAGTCTGGCGACAGAGTGAGACTCCATCTCAACAAAACAAAACAAACAAAAAGAATTCTTAACAAGAAAAAAATGTCATGGTGAGAGCAGATGAACAGAAGTGAGAATATGTGCAGTGTGGCTGCAAGGATGGTTTTGTGTTCATTCACTCACTCATCAGTTTACTGTTACCCTCTTGGTGCCAGGCTCTGTGCTGCGCTCCAGAGGTGGAGATGACCCTGGACTTGAGGACTGCCTGTGAGGAAGACAGCCCAAACCAGAAAACTCTAACAGCAAGGTAGAGGGTTTCTTCAGAGGCTAACTTGGTCTTATGTTCGTTGTCTTTCTCTCCCGCCCCCAACCCAACCCCCACCCTCAGCCCACTCATTAATGTAAGTTCCATGGTAGCAGACAAGTCAGACTTGTTTTAAGCTGTATTCACACTGTTTAAAACAACATCTGACACACAGAAGGTGCCAAAGAAACACCTGCTGAGCGACTGTATATGAGCTCTAATAATAGAGGTTGTAGAAGTTCACATGGGAACATTGAAGAGGTCTTGAAGTTTCTCAGCAAGGGCCATTTAAATTGGGCCTTGATGGATGTGTAGAAGCTCAATAAGTGAAAAAGGAAGTAAAAGGGCATTTCAGGCATTGTAGCTAGCACATTCTGAAAACATGGAGGAAAGTTCAGGGATCGGTAATTGGGTGTGACAGGACCATAGAGTACAGGAGGTGGTGGGGGAGAGGAGAGTGAAAAGAAACAAAGCTGGGGAGATAAGAAGGACCTTGAACCAACTTGAGCTGTCAGAAAGTCCTTATTAAAATCTAACCACCGACCTTGAGGCAACACTCTGGAGAGGGCAGAATTTCCAGCTCTCACTATTATCCTAGGGAGGACCCTCCCTTCAAAGGGTGAGGGTCTCATCAGGAAGGGGGTTAAGAAAGGAGACAGTCACACTCCCACTAGTTCCTAGAATTGTCTACAGTTGGGAGGAGTGGGACAAGGCACCTCCCAGAGACACAGGTGAGGGCTGCATGCTGCCCCCTTGTGGCCTCCGCAGACCTGAGCGGCAAGGAAGCCAGCCAGATCGTCTGCTCCTGATTCCAGGGGTCTCCAGTCTCCAAGGTCATCCTTGTGGCAAGTTATCCCACCCACCAGCTGTCCCCAGACCAGACCCAACTGCTTTATTTATTTCACACATACTCAAGGCTGGGCCAGTCAGTTCAGGAAGACTGAATAAAAGGGGATAGTTCACATTTCAACAGCCTGCCTCTTTCTTACCTATATACACGTCACCTTTGGCCAGAGAGCAACTGTGTATGCACAGGGGGTCAGGAGATCAGTGTTTTGGTTTCAATTCCACCCTTAATTCATGGAGTGACCTTGGGCAAGTCACTGCACTTCACTAGCCCTCCCATGACTGCATCTCTAACACAGGGATCATGATGCCTCTTCCTGTCTCCCCTGCAGGGTCACTGTGAAGATCATCGGGAGGGAGGACGGATGCTGCAAGTGCTAGGAAAAATGTTTAAAAAGTGCTCCGGATGTAAGGGGATCATGCTGGGTATTAGATAGGGGCTCTCTTGGGCTGCACCAAAGGGTTTGTTTACACCAGGATGAGCCCTGCTGGCAGGGCAATTTAAAGGGAAAGTGTTCAGCAGGGAAGCTGCTTGCTAATCACAACTGACCGAAACATCTCTAAAACAAGAATGGAAGTCTACAGGAAAATGGGGACCCACTCACTGGCCTGAAACTACAATCATACTTGGGTTTTCAGGAATGAACCAGAGCAAACAAGGCGGGACATAGGATGTCAGGAAATTAAATTGTGGAGCTTCTGCCTGAGGTCCCTCTGCACTTCCACTTTCTCCCTCTTGCATTCCCTGCATGCGGGGCTAGGCACACGGGTATCAGTGAAAACTTGCTATTATATGATGTCTCGCTAAGACTGAGTTCAGGACAGCTGGAAAGGCCAGAAGATCCCCTTCAGAAAAAAGTCCAGAGCTAGAATAAAGATAACTAGATATAGGAGGGACTGAATTTGGGAGTCGCAAGCATGTGGGGGCTGACCCTGACTCACTGTGTTATGGGGGCCGACTTACTGACTTCTCATGGTGAACTGTCACCTGCTTTACCTACCCTGATGACACTCCATGTCATTCTGGATACACAGCATCATGTATCCAAAACCTTAAAGCTAAAAAAACTTTGCCTTTGAAAAACAAAAAAAAAAAGTTGTCTTTTATAAGAAAGACTTTATAAGACTTTCGTTAAGATGAGACTTTTACCTCGTCTCATCTCTTTTTGCTTTGGTGGCCAGGAAGCTCAGGGTCAAATAATTCTAATAACTACACAGGTCTTTATAACCATATCTGTGTTGTTTTCTATAATCCTGATTTCCTACCAGATTGTTTTTCCTAATTTATTATTTCATTGTGTTGTTTTCATTGCAGTTTTTTCTTATGGATTGAGGTAAGGCATAGTGAAGTAGATGCTGAGTACTTTATAAGCTACCATCATCAAGACAATATAAGCAACAGGATGCCCCAATTTGGAGTAAAGGGTAGAGCTGGCCAGACTTGAATCTAGGCAAAGTATTTAAGCAGATCCCAGAAATCTGGGCAATCTCCTGGGAGGAAGAAAGAGCAGATGACATTCGAGTTATCTGAAACTACTTGTTGAAAACCAATTCATGTCTTACCCCCATGGTTTACAGTGGATATTTCATGAGATAATCATAAAAGCATCAGGTTCAGACTTGAAATCATCTAACAGAAGCCTTTCCCCAATTTCCACCTCACTCACTGAGACAGTCCCAAAGACAAGGGAGGTATCTGCCCATGGGTTTAGGGCAAATACCTACATTTCCTGGCACCCAGCTCACTGTTCTTCCCATAACAGCAGCTCATTCCAACTGGAAGGATGGCATGGTGGAGGTAAGAAAGATGGCTCATCACTGGCCTCTGTGGCCAATGAATAAGTGGAATGCTCTCTCTATTCTCTCTGCTTCAATTAACAGGAAGTAGGTCTTGGCTGTAGAACTCTTGGCTGACAAGGCACCTGGGTTGTTCTCTGGCAGATGCCATGCCATTGGTAATGGGCGTGGCCACAGCAGGTAGCTGAACAGCAGCCTGTGCCAGGCAGGACTGGAAGGATTTACCCCAGGTTTGTTTGATAGAGCCAGCTTTCTCCATGAGAGATGCCCTCTTGACCCTCAACCAGGCAGGAGACACAGCTCAATCTGATACATGGTGAGAATCTAGTAAGTCCAGCAGGCAAGCATCTCTGAGCAGCAAATATATTGATGAAGTTCACTTTTTTTTTTTTTTTTTTTTTGAGACGAAGTCTCGCTCTGTCACCCAGGCTGGAGTGCAGTGGCCGGATCTCAGCTCACTGCAAGCTCCGCCTCCCAGGTTTACGCCATTCTTCTGCCTCAGCCTCCCGAGTAGCTGGGACTACAGGTGCCCACCATCTCGCCCAGCTAGTTTTTTGTATTTTTTAGTACAGACGGGGTTTCACCGTGTTAGCCAGAATGGTCTCGATTTCCTGACCTCGTGATCCACCCGTCTCGGCCTCCCAAAGTGCTGGGATTATAGGCTTGAGCCACCGCGCCCGGCCGAAGTTCACTTTTAAGACTGGCTGAGGTAGGTCAGGCACAGTGGCTCATGCCCATAATCCCAGTACTTTGGGAAGCTGATGTGGCAGGATCACTTGAGCCCAGGAGTTCAAGACCAGCCAGGGCAATAAGTGAAACCCTGTCTCTACAAATAAATAAAAAAAATTAGCTGGGCATGGTGGTACATGACTGTAACCTGACTGTAGTCCCAGCAACTCAGGAGGCTGGGGTGGGAGGATTGCTTGAGCCCAGGAGATTGAGGCTGAAGTGAGCAACAGAGCAAGACAGACAGACAGACACACACACACACACACACAGATTGAGGCTGAAGTGAGCAACAGAGCAAGACACACACACACACACACACACACACACACACACACAGATTGAGGCTGAAGTGATCAAGACACACACACACACACACACACACACACACACACACACACACACACACACACACACACACACACACACCCCCGACTAAGGACCTGTTTGATTTACATACACAGCATGAAGTTCCCTTCGCTTTGAACATCCCCTTCTCACAAGGACGGCCCTCTCTCCCAGACACACAACCTGAGGGCAAAATGAACCTTTCCAAGCAAAGTGGCCCCATGAATGCCCCCAGACACAGAAACCCAGACTCTAAATTATCTAAAATGAGATTTATTGCATTTCATGCAGTCTGAAGTCCATGCAAAGGAGACTAGCACAGTGTTTAATGCATTTAAAAAATAAAGGGGAGGTGGGCAGCAAACGCACAAAGTCCTAGTCTCCTGGGTCCCTGGGAGAAAAGAGTGTGGCAATGAACCCACCCACTCTCCATGGGGAATAAATCTCTTAAATGCAAGGAATGTTTCCATGGCCTCTGGATGCAAATACACAGAGCTCTGGCGTAAGAGCAAGGGATGGGGAGAGGACCACGAGTGAAAAAGCAGCTACACACATTCACCTAATTCCATCTGAGGGCAGAACAACGTGGCAAGTCTTGGGGGTAGCAGCTGTTCCAAGAGTCAAGAAATACCATACACCCCTGGGGAGATTTGCTCCTAAAAAGAAGTGGCGGTAACAAACAACAACAAAAAAAAACAAAAGAAGAAATATTTCTTTAACCACACTCTTCAAGAAAATGCCATAAATATGTTATTTAATATTTTAATTTCATAGCATTGGACACATAGCTCAACATATTGAAATATTGATTCCTTGGAGAAAAAAATGGAAAAAAAAGGAAACAAAAAATATTGCATCTTTCTGCTGGAGAATCTTGGCCCCCAGGCATGGGGCGTAGTGCACCAGTGTCCTAGCCTGCAGGAGGCGCTGAGGTCGGCCGGGTCCTCTGGGGAGGAAGGCTGTGCCCATCGCCTGGGGCTGTATGGCAAAAATTGTGTTGGGTGTCCTTGGCCTTGCCAGCTCAGGCCCTCAGTCGCCGGTCACCTGGGGGGCCTGCCCGTCGGAGGGCTGGTTGGCTGACTGGATGAACATGGGCTGGGCGAGGTCCTGGCCCGCAGGCATGGTGACTTGCTGGATCTGGTAGAGCTGCTGCGAGGGGTGGAGAGGAGAGAGTGAGGTCACCCCTGGGAGAGGGGCATGCAGCTCCCTATGGGTCTCGAGCTGGTTGGGGGTCCCAGATACCTCAACCACCACCCACTGCAAGGCGTCAGAAGGAGGAGGGGAAGTGGAGCTCTGCTGGGGTTGGGAGCAGCAGACACAGGAGGCACCAGCCCGGTGTGAGGGGGGGTGTGTGGTGGGCAGGGAAGAGGTGCAGGGAGTTGAATTTCCTGTGGCTTTCACTTCTCTGGGCTCTGCCTCTCCCGTTAGCTCAGAGACTCGAGCTTGCTGCACGCTGTTCCTCTGTGGCAAACACAAGCAATTCGAACCACTGTACCAGCAGCTTGGAAGTCAGCATTTCCCCAACTCTTGGTAATCTACACTGGCAGGGGCAGTAGGATTACCCCCTCCTCTCCTCCTTTTCTCAGAATATCCGGCTCAGGTTGAAACTAAACTGAATTTCAATTTTCTCCATGGGCCCTGCTAAGGAGGTGGCCTGGTATAAACACTTAACTATAGCCAAGACCCTTCAGGGGTGGAGAAGATACTCACACAGCCACTTAGGAAGGGCAGGGCTAATTGACTACTTGGTTTTCCAGGCGCTCCCCAAAGAAACCAAAAGCCAAGACTTCACGGGAGCCCTGGCATGTAAGCCTAGCATGTGGTGCTGGCAGAAGCCAGAGGTGGGTCCTGATGCCAGCTCTTCTCCCTTTTGAGCAGCAGAGGGCACAAGTTTGGGCATGTCATCCTATCATGTCCTCAGTGGTCTCTGGTACTGTACTGTGAGGGGAAAGCAGAGGGAAAAGGGAAGATTCTCTCCTTGCAGGGACTGAAAATTACTGAATTTCAGGTACCCAGAGAGTTCAAGAGGTCACATGTTCTCTGCAACTCAACAGTCTATGCTATTAAAAAACATTATGGCTTAGGGGAAAAAAATACAGTTCTAGAGAGGGAAACAGGAAACCTGCTCTCTAGTCCTGTCTGGAATGAACATCTAGGGGAGCATGGACAAGGCACTTCCCATCTCCAGGGTTCAGTCTACTCATCTGTAAAATAGCAACTGGGGCTACATGGTCTAAGATTATTTTTAGTTACAACTAAGTCTATAAAACTAAAGGATAGGTGCCCTGATTTAAATACTGTACTTGTTTTAACAATTTCTGTCCACTCCTTGTTAGGAGAGGACAGGACAGCTGCCCTAACCATCCAAACCCAGATACTACCTGCTACCCTGCCCCGCAATTCCTCACCCTCTGCCCCTGCCCAGGCTGGGTACCCTACCTGTCCATCTGTGAACTGGCTGAACTGCTGCTGTCCTTGCTGGACCTCTGTCTGGGTAATCTGTAAGAATCAAGATGGTAGAGTTGACATGTCAGCTGCAGGGTCTGATCCACCAGCCCACCACCCAGAAGAAGGTCATAAAGATCAAATGAGACAATGCATATAAAGTGCCCAGCTCAATGGGCAGTAAGAAAGCGAGGGCCCCTCCTAATCTTCTAGCACTGATGGCTATCCCAGGAGTTGGCAGCACAAAGGGACATCGAGAATCCTGAGCACATAATAGATAGTTCCCACCCCCATCTCTCTAATGAATGCCTACTCCCTCAACCACCCACTCATCTGAAGGTCCTGAGGCTCAAACAGAACACATGGCTCCTAGGTGCTATGGTTTGGGGTAGAAGTCCTAAGAGTCAGTCTTTCAGCCAGTGAAGGTGGATTGCAAAGTGTTAGACAAAGTGGTGAGTGGTCTCTTTCATTCTTAGAAGGTGGGCTCCAAACCAAACCTGTATCACCCAGATCATCTGACTGGAATATGAAACACCCTGGCAAGCAAGTGGCCTTGGCCCCAGCAGTCCTCATGGCAAACCTATGAAGTACTTTTTCCGAGAGAGGCACTGTGCAGTCCTCTAGGCCAAGGGAGGGGAGGAGAAAGGGGGAGGGACGGGGAGTGGAACAAATACAACATTTATCACGAGTACTTAAAATCTTACTTGCGGACTGTGAATGGACTTTAGATAAATTTACTGACATGCAGAACTGCATATATAATGACAACTGCTGGAAGCAGCTTGGTAAACTAGAAGGAAGACTGTGGTGTGCATGCACATGTGTTCCTATGGAACATCTGACCAGCAGTGTCCTCTGTGTACCATTTCCTGGAATCATCATAGCCAGCCTGCAAGACAAGGACTGTCCTCTCAAATGTCCTCACCACGGCCAAAAACAACCCCTGCAGGCCTACCCATGAGGCTATGAGGAACAAGAAAGGGAACGGGTATAAAAGGCTTCATGACTGGTTTTTTTTTTGAGACAGAGTCTCGCTCTGTTACCCAGCCTGGAGTGCAGTGGCGCGATCTCGGCTCACTGCAAGCTCCGCCTCCTGGGTTCACGCCATTCTCCTGCCTTGGCCTCCTGAGTAGCTGGGACTACAGGCGCCCGCCACCTCGCCCGGCTAGTTTTTCGTATTTTTTAGTAGAGATGGGGTTTCACCATGTTAGCCAGGATGATTTTGATCTCCTGACCTCGTGATCCGCCCGTCTCGGCCTCCCAAAGTGCTGGGATTACAGGCTTGAGCCACCGCGCCCGGCGACTATTTCTTACTATTGTTCCTTATTTTGGTCCTTTTCCTTCCAACAGCCTATAAGCTGCTTGAGGGCAGGGCCCATACGAAATAAGTATTCCAGAAATGTCTGCAGAATAAACAAGTGAGCCCGAGACAAATGGAAAATATTCCACATAGATAAGAAGGTTAACTGCTCTGTGGCGAGCAGGATTGCCATTCATATTAGCTGAGATTTCACTTACCTTTAAATTTTATTTACATATTATTCATTCTGCTTCAACAAACATTTACTGAGCACCTACTAAGTACTAGGTCGTCACAATTACAACCTGTTGTTACAAAGATTTTCATTGCCTTCAGCTACCGCTTTCTTGCTTCTCCCCAACCTCTCCCATTTTTTGGCTTTAGTTCTGTTCCCAAAACCAAATTTTTTTTTTTTTTTTGGAGACAAAGTCTCACTCTGTCACCCAGGCTGGAGTGCAGTGGCACAATCTCGGCTCACTGCAACCTCCACCTCCTGGGTTCAAGTGATTCTTGTGCCTCAGCCTCCCAAGTACCTGGCATTACAAGGCGTGTACCACCACACCCAGCTAATTTTTGTATTTTTAGTAGAAATGGTTTTGCCATGTTGGGCAGGCTGGTCTCAAACTCCCGACCTCAAGTGATCCACCCGCCTCGGCCTCCCTCCCAAAGTGCTGGGATTACAGGCGTGAGCCACCGTGCCCAGCCCCAAACTGACTTCTGAGGAACCAAGAAGCTTCCTTCTCATTTCCTCCCACTCCCATGCCGTTATGTTTTTAGGATCCCAGGGAAGAATCTTACAAGGTTAAAAAGAGGGGCTGGGGGAAGGGTGTGAGTCAGTATCAGTTACGGAAGAGCCGAGTCCTTAGGTAAGCCAGGGAGTGGGCAAAGAGCGAGCCCTTAATGATCCCAGAGACTATATGGAACTCAGAAGCCTTGCTTTTGGCTCATTCTTCATATTTTCCCAAATGAGATCTTTGGAGACCTGCTCTACAAACTCAGCTCTGTCACCACTGTCAATAGATACATCACCAGAAATGCAACTGGGCCAGACGGGTCCAGCTCTTAAACGATCGCTGCTTTTTTTGGGTCTGAGGCAAAAGAATCCATTAACAATGCCTCCCCTTGACCAGCACCCCCCATCTTCTACAAATGGTGCCCACATCCCTCAATACCCCCAAGCCCAGGGAGGCAGCCCCCTCACCATCTGTGACTCAGCCATCAATACTGTAGAGCACGAGAGGAGAGGGGCAATTTTTCTGGTCAGGGATGCAAAAGGAGGTGGAGGTAAAATCTAAGTAAGCTTTTCAAAGGGCACAGGAGGTGCCAGAACACAACAGCCACTTGGGTTTAAAGATGGAAACAGCCTGACGATTAGGAGATCTGTCGAACATATCCCGGGTCTGACGGGTGTGCACACCTATAAGATTTCTTTCAGGCACCTTCGAGGCTTCCCCTGACTTGCATTTCTTTGCCCCTTGAGAACAAGACAGTAAGAGAAAACACTTTGAACCTAATGTTCCAATTACCACCCATGCCTCTTGGGTGCAGAAGAGATATGGAGGGTGTGGGGGTGGTGCCTCTGGCTGAAGGATGAGGAGGCAAGACAGTTGTGTGCTGAGTGCTCCTTTCCTGTCAGAAGCCACCTGCTCCTGATCTCCAACACAAGCCCTGTGTCTCTGGGGCACATACCTGTTGAGCATTGGTGGCAAGTGTCTGGATCTGTCCCTGCACAACTTGAGTGCCTGATACAGGCTGGGCTAAGCGGATATACTGCAGCTGGCCGGCGTTCAGCTGCACCTAGGGCAGGGGCAGAGACAAAGAGACCATAAGACATTGAGCATAATCTCAAACAGGCAAACTTTCCATGACGAGAGATGGTGACTGCCCCCTACCCCTCAAGCCCTCCAAAGAAGCCTGCCCTGAAAAAAGTCCCTTTTAAAGAGAGGTCAAAACAAGCAAAACTAGAACATCCACAAGTCACACAACACAGAAGAGAATATGTTCCCTGAACGGACTTCAGAAAAAACTCCCAGAAGATCCTGTCACAAAGGTGAGAACAGCATGGCTGCATGCTCGTTATTTGCCGGATTTTAGCTACATGATCACGGCTTATCTTCGGAATTTATCTGACTGACATGATCAGAATGCCTGTACATTAAATGTGGGCCTCTTTCCCTCCCATCTCCCACAATTCCCAATACTGTAAAGAGATCCAGCGTCCGCCAGGAGCCCAAAGCAGACAGCCATCATTCCGCATCATAGCCCTCACACTGCCCTGCCCCATGCTGCACATCTTGGAGGCAAAAGCTGGCCTGCTTAACCATCTCTCTCCCCAACAGCCAGGCTGGATGGGGGTCTGTGGGGCTTTTAGGATCCTTGGTGTTCAGCACTAGCTTCTGGCCAAACACCTCCCAAGGGGAAGCAGAATCAATAAACCTTTCACAGAAAACCCCATCATGGGAAACCAAAGCTACAAAAGCGCCCTTAGAGTCTCTCATGCTTACGATTAAATCTCAGATAATACAATAATACTACATGCTGCATTTAATTGTGTGCTAAAAGCCTTAACTCAGGCTCTTAATGCTCCAGTGTACCATGAAAGTATTAGTGCTTTGAGCTAGGGATGAAAAGAGGACCAAGGCAGTTACCATGTCAGAGAACCGTAGCTCAGCAAAGATGATGGTCAGCAGGGAAGGACTGCAGACATTCACACCCTCAATTTAGAGGAAATGAAAGGGGTTCTGGGAGCATGGATAGACTAGGTCTCTATCTGGGGGCCCCAGAAACCACCTGCCCTGGCTGCCCAGTCTGCTTTGCTGCAAGGGGGAGCTTCTTGCAGCTAACAGGTAAGTGTTGCCTCTGCTCTGGAGCAAATTTCCCTCTGGTCTTCACGAGCTGCAGGACTCTTCCGTGAGGAAAATGCTAATGGGATGAAGCTGTACTCCTGCACACACTGTTCAATCAAAATGCTTCTCTGAGACTCCCAGCCTCACAGAATTTGAACTACCAAGAAAAAACGACCTCTCAAATTCATGGTAGACCATTCTAGAATTGCCCACTTGAGGCAAGATGGAGGGACACACAATCCAAAACCATTAACAATCTGGTTCAAAGGAGACAGGGCAAAAGTATTATGACCTGCAGTCATTTCTTTCCTGAGAATATGCCAAGAGAAGCTGCTGGGAGGCTGTGGTGCCAAGCCTGAATTCCCCACCTAAATCCTATAATGCAGCTTCCTGGCAACAATGTTAAGTTGCTTGTGGGGAGGAAGGCAGCTGCGCGGAGGTATGGGAAACCTCATCTACAGAGACTGATGGTGGCTAGTCCCAGGAGTCCCCAGAACTCCAGCCAGGGATCACAAGAAGACTAAAGTCTTGTCACAGGAGTGGGAGAAGGTATAATGACAGCTACACGGATGTAAAATTTTCTAGCTGGGAAGAGCTCTTTGCAGAAACCCAAATGTGACTGAAAAGCTGTGAGCCAAATGGTTCCAAGCAGCTCTTCAACAGAAGCAAGAGTTTTCCTTTTTAGCTTAGGTTAAGACATTTGGTGATGATCTGTCCCTCATTTCTCTACAGCAAGACAGGTTTGGGGATCCTCATAGCTTTTTTACATTAATTACAGACAAAATAAGCTCTGGGTTTTTGAAAGGGAAATAAAGTTTCCTTCCTGAAGCTCATCACTATTAGGAACATTCCAATGAGCTGCCTAAAGAGTCTGGAAATGAAGACTCCTACAGAAAGTGCCTGAGCCAGTGAAGATGAAATAGTGAATTCTGCAACAAATCTGCTAGGTAAAGCTCTGTGTCCCAGAGGGTTAAAGTATCTGCAAGGTGGAACTCTCTATTCTCTGGCTTAAATGAACCTGTGGCGGTGCCTTCACTTGCAAAAACGAGAACCATTCAACAGAAATCTTGGGGTTGGGGAGTGAAACAATGAAGCAAAGCAGAGCTCAGTCATGCAATCCATTGTGAGCACACGTGAGAGAGGTGGAGAAAGAGACATACACACGCCGCTTTCGTAAGCTTTCTCTTGGCCTATTACCATGTTAACTTCAGATGAAGAACAATTCCTAAACTGATCTAAGGATACTTTCAGAGTTATTTTCACAGAGGAAGTGGTTAACCAAGTCTATGTGAGTTTCTATACCTGCCTACGTTTCATTTATGACAAAAATGGCAAAGGGCAGGGAATAGAAGGACCGCTCTGTTTCACTCACTTTCCAGTTTCGGGGGTCAAAATTACCATGTACAGACTGCAAGTGTTAAGACAAGGACACATTTTACAAAAGAAGGAGTACAAATAAAAAAGCCAACAAATCTAAGAATTGAAATCCCTCAAGGCACACAGGAAGCAGCAGTCCACAGTAAAGGAATGGGTAAGTTATATGAAAGCCAAAAATACACTTTGCTGCAGGCTCCACTGGGAAATGAGTCATGAATATGCAACAAGTGTATTTATGGCCTTCCCTATACACCTCCCTCTTATCCTCTGCTGATCAAATACAGGACTGCCTCACAGGGCCTCTGGGCCTTGTCATGGGTAGTGGTTACAATGATTTCCCTGCATAGGTGGAATGAGGGGAAATCGAGTGAAGATGCCCCACTGTGGGGAACCTGAACCTAGATTAAAGGAAAGCAGGGAACAAACACAGTGAAGCAAGTTGTGTTCAGGAACACTGGCATATAGATTAAAAACAAAACACACACACACATACACACACACACACACACATAAAAATAAGTATTGTGGGCTGGGTGTGGTGGCTCACGCCTATAATCCCAGCACTTTGGGAGGCTGAGGCGGGCGGATCACCTGAGGTTAGGAGTTAGAGACCAGCTTGGCCAACACTGTGAAACCCCGTCTCTACTAAAAATACAAAAATTAGCTGGGCGTGGTGGCACGCACCTAAAATCCCAGCTACTTGGGAGGCTGAGGCAGGAGAATCGCTTGAACCTGGGAGGCAGAGGCTGCAGTGAGCTGAGATCAAGCCACTGCACTTCAGCCTGGGCGACAGAGCAAGACCTATCTCAAAAAAAAAAAAAAAAAATTATTGTGCGTGTGTGTGAGATAGAGATATATATATATATATATCTATCTCAAGGCATAGATATATCTTTAAGTATTTCCTTCTATAAAGCTGTAAAGACAAACCTCAGGGCAGGACTCACCGGGATCTGCTGGATCTCTCCCGTGTTAGTGATGATCTGCTGCATCACCTGCATGGTCTGTCCAGTGCTACTCTGGGCCTGCTGGGCTTGACCCTGTGGCTGGGCCTGGACAATCTGCACCTGCTGACCTTCTCCAACCTGCATTGTCACAGGTGTGGTCTGAAAGGAAGAGTTATGAGAATGCTGCATGAGTTCAGGCTTAGAGCCCACAGGATTACCAAGACGTTAATAACGAGCAGTGTGCTGGGAGCAAACCCTCTCAATGAATGCCTAAACTCATCTCAATACTAGTAATGCAGAGTCCTCTGGGTTTACAGCATTGCTAAAGCTACTCTCCAAAATGAAAGAAAAGCCAAAAATATTTTAAGGCTCACAGTACAAATATCTGCATGGGTCCCAAACATAAATCTCTGTGCCCCAAATGCTGCAAATTTTCACAGCCCCTTTAGTGATGATAAGGCACATACACTACAGAAAAAATCAAAAGCAACCATGACAGTTTACTTCAGAAATGGTCAAAGTCAAGTCTGGGGCAGATGAATTTGGAGGGTAACATTAAATGGAAAGGGTACGGATTTAGTTAGTTCAGGGTCATGTGCTCTTTCTTAGGCATTTAAGACACTGAGAGAAAAATAACGCACAGGGGTACATCTCCGAGGCTGACCCTAGTGCACACTGGCTCTCACTCCATTCAAGCCGCAGAGCAATTCCTGCCCACACTGGCCAGATGGCTACTCTGGACCATAGTATGGCTTCCCACAGGAGAGCAAACACTGCTAACTCACTGGGCACTGTTAAGACACAGACTCTTAACTAAGTGTACCCCTAATTAATAGAATTTAAGAAAGCAAGAACTCTAACTTTCTAAAAACAGCAATCTCGGATCTAAGAAATTTCTGCCCAATGTGTATGACTTGGCAGATTCTGTCTCTCACACACAATGGTTATAGTCCTATGAAATGTACTCTTCTGAGAGATGGTAAAGACACAAGCTGCCAAAAGGGTCAATTATTCTCTCAAATCTCAAAACTTTAGTACTATTTGTGACTTTCACAGGTTACCTAGAGCAGTGAGCCTATCTGGCTCATCTGGTGGTGGTAGTGATGGGGGGTGCGGCGGCGGCGGGGGTGTGTGGGTGGAGCCTTTTAAACTACACCTGTATATCCAATCCCTGACTTGAATTCTGTCACTCTGTCTCCCCCACTCTGAATTAATCACCTCAATAAGACGACTATGGAAGTCTCAATGAATCATAAACTTCAACTGATGTTGCTATTCTGATGTTCTTAATTCTGACTGCATAGATTACTGAAAATTACAACTATGCATCCAAAGTTACAAGGGAAGGGGATGTGTTCTGGGAACGACAGATGAGATTCAAGGGATTACTAAGGAGAAATTACTACAAACTGGAGGAGGGCAGGAAAGACAGACGACAGAGTGTTCCAAAAGTACGTGCAGTGGGCTAGGCTAACAGAAAACATCTCTTCCATTCTTGTACCACAATTTTCAACTCAGCCTATTCCCAACTTCCATAAATAAGTTTCCAATTTATGACAGAAAACACAGGATTAATTTTACCAAAATATGCATTCTTTCCAACTCTGCTTTGATACATATGTATTCTGTCCTACAAAGCATATCTGCACTCAACTTGAAATAGCCATCACAACAGGTCCAGGGAGGTGTGACACAGCACAAGGCCACCCTGAAGCAGCAGGATGGTGAAAGAACAGCCAGGAAATGCTGGGAAGGACCAACTTCACCATCCTCACAAGCCTTATCAGCTCCAAGATGTGCACGTCTGGGTTGGCAGAGAAGAGGATAGATGAAATTCTCGCTGACTAAAAAGAAATGCATGCTGCCAACTCATCACTGTACTATATCAACCCAATTTTCCCAAGAGGATTTCCAAGGTATTTCTAAATCATTTCAGGAAAATGAGGGCTTGTGTTAGCATGGCAGCTGTCAAATCATGTATGGTGTGCCCTGCTGTCAGGGCACAACAGCCATGAGCTTCTTAGGATGATCAGCCAATCAGAGCCTGCCCTTGGCAGACTCCCTCTAAGTTCACTCTGTAAAGGGATAAAGCCTTTGGCAGGTCAAGCTTTCACCACTGTAGAGGCACAAGCATTAGCCAAAGAAGGTCCCTTAGGCATCATGGTGCAATTGAGGTCTTGAGGCAGTGACTGAGCAGCCATTATCTTTGAACCCTCCTGCCTAGCACAGTGTCTGGCATAAAACAAGTACTCAATACATTTTTGTAACATGGATAAGTAAATGAGCAGGGAATAAATCCTAAAATCATAATTACCTTTTTTTTTTGAGACGGAGTCTCGCTCTGTCACCCAGGCTGGAGTGCAGCGGCATGATCTCAGCTCACCGCAACCTCCGCCTCCCAGGTTCAAGAGATTCTCCTGCCTCAGCCTCCCGAGTAGCTGGGACTACAAGCACCCACCACCATGCCCGGCTAATTTTTGCATTTTTAGTAGAGATGGGGTTTCACCATATTGGCCAGGCTGGTCTCGAACTCCTGACCTTGTGATCCGCCTACGTTGGCCTCCCAAAGTGATGGGATTACAGGTGTGAACCACTGCACCTGGACAAATCATAATTACAATGGTGGCTCATGCCTGTCATCCCACCACTGTGGAAGGCCAAGGTGAGAGGATGGCATGAAGCCAGGAGTTCGAGACCAGCCTGTGAAACATTAATGAGACTCCATCTCCACAAAAAAATTAAAAATTATCCAGGTGTGGTGGCATACGCCTGGGAGTCCCAGCTCCTCGGGAGGCTGAGGCAGAAGGATTGCTTGAGCCCAGCAGTTTGAACCTGCAGTAAGCTATGATTGTGCTACTCCAGCCGGGGTGACCAAGTGAGAACCTATCTTTAAAAAAACATCAATCAATCCATCTACCTCCACCCCATTTTTTTTTCTTCTAGGCAAACTCAGCTCCTTATTAGAATACACAAGGCTGTCCAGGATGTGTTCACTACCTATCTTTTCAAACTTGTCTAGATGGTCTCCTATGCTGACTACTTTCCCATGGCTCCCTGTACTGTTTTTCACTTCTAAGCCTTTGCCTATGCTATGCTCTCAACTGGCAATACCACCCTTTCCCGCTTTCTTTAATTTCCACTGTTCCCTAAGACTCATATTACTTCCTTCAGGAACATTATCTGACCATCTCCTTCACATCTTTCTTAGCTACTCATCCTCATATATATATATACACACACACATACATACATACATACATACATATATATACACACTTTTTTTTTGAGACAGCATCTTGCTCTGTCACCCCAGCTGGAGTGCAATGGCACAATCACAGTTCACTGAGGCCTTGACTTCCTTGGCTCAAGCGATCATCCCAACTCAGCCTCTTAAGTAGCTGGGACACAAGTGCATGCCACCATGGCTGGCTAATGTTCTGATTTTTTGGTAGACACAGGATCTCACCATGTTGCCCAGGCTGGTCTTGAACACGTGGGCTCATGCAATCCCCCTGCCTTGGCCACCCAAAGTGTTGGAATTACACACGAGCCACCACATGTCCCTGCCTTTTTTTTTAATTAAAGAAGAGGTCTTGCTGTGCTGCCTGGGCTGAAGTGCAGTGGCATGATCCTACCTCACTGTAACCCAAACTCCTGGGTTCCTCTCACCTTGGCCTCCCAAAGTGTTGGGATTACAGGCATGAGCCACTACGCTGAGCCAAGGTACTTCTTTTGATGTGTTCCTATAACACCCTGTACACATTCCCACGTGGAGGTACAACCTTTAAGTATTTGTATCCCCAACTAAATTGTGAATTCCTTGAAAATAAGGACTGTTGTATTCATGCTTGTATCCCCAGTACATAGTACAGGACTTTACCCTCAGAGGATGCTCAGCGTTTGATGAATAAATAATGATTGACAGAGAATTTGGATTCAGAGCTCACAGTACACAGTTCTCTGCAGCCTCACATGACCCCCAACAAACATGAATGCTACTGCTCTCAACAATACTACTGGGGAGAGAAAGAGTCCTCTGATTACTATCATAAAAAGAGAAGGTCACTTGACACAAATATGGGACACAGAAATGACGGGGAGAAGGAGTATGCAAACTGGCAATGACACCTAATCTCTCCTTTTAAGGGCACAAATTCCACTTCTGACACAGACACACAGACAGCAGGCATGGAGTTCACTTTAGTACCTCTACAGAGATCCCACTACTCTTCATGAGGCATTTCAGACATTTTTTTTCTCTCCTAAAATTTCTGAGCTAATAGGGATCCTGGAGAACATACTGTCCACTACACTTTCTTCATTTGACCTTTGAGAAAAACAGGGTCCAGAGAGATTAGGGTGACATCTCACCCCAGTAGCTGAATCTGGGGAAAAGTTCCCGTTTCCAGACTTTAAATCCAGTGCTCTCTAATGATCCGGCTGCCTCTCTGCCCTCATCAAGCTCTGCCCATCCAAAAACCTAAGGGGCACTGTCTTGCTGGATGGGCATCCTCAGCAGCTCACAGACCTGGCCCTGCTGAGGCTGTGCGATGATGATCTGCCCAGGCTGGATGGTGGTCGTGGAGCTGGTGGTCTGCTGGCCTTGCTGCTGGCCCTGGACTTGGACAGCGGTGGGCTGCTGAGCCAGCGTGAAATAGTACTGGACTGGCTCGGCAGGAGTTACAGACTGGCGCACCTCCTCCTGTTGGGTGGAAAGAGAGACAGGTAAGAGAAAAAGAACCGATTCAGCAACCGCCACAGTGAATTTCCACTCTTCCCCCAAACAGGCTATGTGCAGTTGCCTGCTGAATGCTGAGCTCTCCACATTTGAAGCCAAAGGAAAGTGGAATTCAAAGAGACCAGTTATGCTAAATCAAACTAAAAATAACAGATCCTATAGGCTTCACAAAACATATAGCCAAGTACGAAATAATCACCCATTGCATGATAAGTTGCAAACGGGCAAATAATTACTGTAACTAAAAACCACGCACCAGCAGTGCTTGTCAGTAAATGCTGTCAAGGCCTGTGATCTGAGAACAGTGCTAATTGCACGTGTTAGGAAGATGCTACCCAAACATCATGCCTCTCAGGCCTGGTCCCAATCTCCCAAACAGGCAGCACTCTTCTCATTTTATCCCCACCACTTCAAGGGGGACAGAACAGGTTAATGGGAAACAGGGCTTTTCCTGAGCTGAAATTTTCAGGATCGAGAGCACTGGTAGGCAAGTACCCAGCTTTTCACAGCTTGTTGAAAGCTCTGTGGTCACGGAGGGCATGTCTATCCAGTGTCACATCTGGTTCTGGTTGTACTTAGCCACAGAAGCGCAACCCAGGGGGCCTGATGGACAGCTCTCCGCTGGGGTACTGCCTTGGCTGATTAGGGAGGTCGCATTCTGTCCGATCTGCGGAGTGGAGACTGTTCCTTCTTCAGCTGATGTTTTCCATGGCAGAAGGAGTAAACAACCCTCTCCCAGCCACCTTGAGCTCACAGCTGAGAGTGTAGGATGTTTACACACACTACAGCATGGTTATAGCCCACAGGGTCCAGGGTTGGTCAGCCCCTGACCACTGACACAGAACGGCGTCTGATCCGGAGTGACCTGTGTGACACATGGTGCCCCTGCCTGGGACAACAAAAACAATAAAAACATAGAACCACTTGGGCTGGCTGAGTAAAAATATTAGCTAAATTTACTCATGTCCTTATTCAGGGCAAAGTTTGCCATGTTCCAGAAAAGAGGAAAAGACACTTCTTAGAAGTACACAAACCCAGTGGGCTGCCTCAGACTCCCCAAAGTAACATTTACAAAGCTGGTATTGACCCCATTCCCAACATTACGTTAGGTGCCCTGAACTGTGCTTCCAAAGTACTGTCCTCATAGTATACACTTTTGCACTTTCATGTCAAATTAACTGTTCTACTAAAATGTAAGTGCCATGAGGGCAAAGCCTAGCTCCCTCTTGCTCTCTGCTATCCCCTGCGTTCCCAGGTAGGCACTCAATAAGTGCTTGCTGAATGATGAATGGATTTATTTAGACAGGCAGACAGAGGCAGGAAAGTACTTCTCTGAATCTAAGTTGGTGGTATGACAAATTCTCTTAAACCCAACAGTTGTTACCAATAGAAAAAAGTAGTCTCTAAACTCTCTTTTGGTACCTCTAGGACTCTGTGGCTACAGTGTGGGGAAGCAGCTGGTGTCCCCTGTGGAACAGAGCTGAGTATCCTTTGTTTGCCTGATGACTGGGGGCCAGGACACTAAAACTAGGACTGCCAGTATCTAGCCCCTGAGAAACATGGGTCTCTGCATGACACGGTTACTTGGCTGCCATCTATCCAGCTTAGGGAGATACCTGTAATATTCTGCGTTTCTCAGTTAATGTATGAACTGACTTTCTAGGTTAATATATTCTGTGCTTCAGACACAAACAGTTTTAACCCTCAATATGATTATGCCGAGGCAGAAGGAAAAGGAGATTCCCTTTTATTTTCATCTAGGTCTCAATTTCCACAACAACTTAAAAATGGCAACGTCAACTCCATTTCAACCCCAACTTATCATCATTATAAATAAATGTCAGCCTGCAAACTAGGTCTTGGCTGTGGCAAGGCTAAAATACTGATACCTTTTGCAGCCAAGAAACAGAGGCCAACTGCTCTTTGCAAAGTTGTTGAAGTAGGTTCAAGGTACTTGGGTTCCACTGAGATCTCCCTTCTTATTTTACAAAAAATACAAATCACTGAAATCCAGACCTAACTTGGAAAAGCTCTCGGGTAATGAGAGGGTATACAGGACTGAAAGCCCTAGAACCATCTGTGTAGGAAGCTAGGCAGCAGGGAGACACCTGCATTTTCTAGACCTGACCTGTGATTGTTTAGTCTCCAGTTATCCCCGACTACAGCTGATCTAGTATTGAATATGATCTTTTTGTCAGACAAAAAGCAAACCCTTTAAAAACCCCTTCCAGAACCCAAAATACCTCTTGCCAAAAACTGTGAGAGCAGGTAAAGAGCTCCTCCTATGCTGCTTACTAAATCCTCTTAAACTGTTTATGAACTAGACAATATCTAGGATGCTGTGAGAATCAAGTGGAGGCACCTAGGTTTGTGTTGTTAGGACAAGGCACAACTGTTCTCAAATCAATGAAATGGAAGAAGGCATATCTAAGGCTCTTCTGCATTATGAAGACTCATTCTGCCAGCGGAAGTCAAGCTAGCAAGGAAATGATTATGCTTGGTTTAAAGAAATGGGTGAAAAGATAATGACATTTCAATGGGCAGGAACTTTCAACTCATAGCTTTAGTGGGGCAGAAGTCAGGCCTCACCTACCTACTACTTTCAAATAATCTTTACTTGCTTCTCTGAAGAACAAGCGAAACTCCCAAGCATCTTTGAGAAGTCAGGGCCTAGGACTCACAATTCAATATTTCTGGCTAGTTCCTTATCCCAGCAGTGGGAGGTTGTCCCAAGTGGTAGAACAATCGTTTAATGACTGGATCAATCCAGAATGGGGCACTTGCTCAACTTTAGAGTGGCCTCCCCAACTAGAGGGCTTGCTCTTGGAATCTTTTCAGAAGCTGAGACTGACGAACAGTGCCAGAGAAGAGCAGCATCGCATCCTAGGGTCATCTCTACAGTGTTGTGCAGTCAGCCCTGACTGGAAAAAAGTACATTCTTTTTAGCAGCAAGAGTGAACTGCTGCCTCCTTCGGAAAGGGTGGGTTTTGGAGAGTAGGCGTTTTAAAGGACTTCAGGAGGTGCCAGCCAATTTGGAGCCTGGGAAAACTTCGTGTCTACAGAGGATTAAAAATGCTATCTTAGAATTTCAGGCCAGCTTTCAGCAATCTCAACCTTTCAAAGGCCAGGCAGCAGCTGTCCCGAATACGATGCCAATCAATGGCTTGAACACCTACAAAGAACTAAATCCAAGCAACAAGAAGCTGTTTCAGCTAAACACACTTTAAAAGCAGATGGATCACAGCATTTCGAGTCTGGCTAAGATGGAATAAGGAGCCGTGTGACACCCCGAGAGACCCAGAAGCACTGAGGAATTTGAAGGAACTGACAGGATGTGACCCTTCTCTCCAGCCAGTGTATTCAGCAGGCAGCCCATAGAAAACAAGGACTTAGCACAATGAGAGTGAGCAAGGCCTGATTTCATCACAGAGTTCACCATCTTGTTTTAAAGGGGGCTTCTGATAGACAAAAGGAGAAAACAATTTCAACAAGGAAAGCAGGTATATGACACTCTCTGTTCTGAAGGAAGAGAAATGGCCTGAGTTCTTGTTGCTGTGACTGCTTAGAGAGGAGGGAAGGACCCCCAAGAGGAGGAATTGAGCCTGTGGGCACAAACCTGCAATGTTTCAAAGCCGATGCGTAGCTGGGGACGACCGTGGCAGCCTGCCGCTGTAAACATCCGACTGAAAGCTCCTCTGAACACCTTACAGCTTCCAGTCAAGGATGTTTACAGTAGCGAAGACTGCCCAGAAAGAACGGAGACGCAGTAAGGCACACCCTACTCTAGTAAGGAGGTGACAGAGGGCTTGCTAATCCGAAGGCCCTCATGCAGGGTCAGAATTACAAATGTTGATTAGGATGCCACTTCTCCTAGACTTTCTCTGGCTGGCTATTAATACAGGCTGGGATGGGGAGAATGGTTGTCACTGAATGACTACTTCTAAGGATAATATACTATGAAATAATTCATTAAAAATAAAGTTTCATATAACAAAGCAAGCAGCACAAGGCCCAGCTTTGCTCCTGTGAGATTCTGCCACTATTTCCCAAGCGTCTCTACTACACCTAGTGAATCATGCAATCTGCATGCTTAAAACAATGAGCTCTAAAGGACAGAGGTCTATTACAATCACAATTAAGAGCTATAGGCACCCAAGGTGCTGAAAAAACAACTAGTGTGACCTTTGGAGAGGGGCAGGCAGAAGAGAGGGAAAGGGAGACATTCACATTCTTTCTTGTGATTGCTTGGAAAACAGCTCAAGTGGTGGTTCTCAAATCTGGTTGCACATTAAAAGCATCCAGAGAGTTTTAAAAGGTACTGATGCCTGGGCTCCATCATGAGATTCTGATTCAGCTGATGTGGGGTACAGCCTGGGTGCTGATATTTTTAAAACCCCAACAGGTGATTCTAGTGCGTAGTCAGGGCACTATATAAAGATATAAAGAACCACAATATAAAGGATGAGAAAACACAGTCCATTCACTCCAAATACCACTGTGCACACAGAGAAGCTGTTTCTTAAAAATCTAAAATCTATAACTTTCTGGGAATATTCTTCCATCCCAGATGAAGAGCTCTGATAGACTTCCTAAGATACCTTGAAATGAGCTTCACTTTACCATTTGTAACTAAAGTCTTTCATTTTCATTTTGTCTATTTTCACTGAAACACCACTTCAGAGGCACTGAGTTAAAAGTATCCAGAAATGAGTAACAGAAGGATATGTTCAGAATGAATCTGGTCTAGAAATGAGGAGCAAAAGGAATAGCAAATGACTTGTGCTGAGAGACGAGAAGGAGCGTATCTGACACCAGTATGCAAAGTGCTCTTCAGTCAGCAGCAACTGCAATGCCTTCACAGCTCACCTGACGCTTTGGAGGTTTCAGTTCATCTCTTGGAACAATATCGATGAGAAAATCAAACTGATCAAATTTTGTAATTGCCATGGCGATATCATTTCTCTGTAACAAAGAAAAGTGGTGTGAAAAATTAGCCTGGGGAGAAACTAGTTCACTTGGCTTTATACCCTCCAAGTAAGGTAAGATGAGTTTTAAGCCAAACTAAACACCCATGGGCAAGTCTACAGCTGAAATAAGCACAGCCAAACTCATATACTTTAAATGATCAGACCTGGTGGACAATCATCAACAAAAAAGAAAGAGATACATGTAACTCACACTCTAAAATGGGATATCTGAGCCTCCAACCACTGCTACTCCTGCTTGATCCTCTCCCCGCGATTTTTAAATTATAAACTTAGTAATCTCAATTAGTAGGTTTCTGGTCATTCTGTGGGTTAGCAAAGTTACGTTTATAATCCTTTTAAGGCCCTAAATAATATTTTCCCTTTGGTTCACAAGTAGTTATAATCTATTTTGGATTTCTTAGGTAAAATCCTAATTCAACAACTTTTTGCAACATTTTCAAGTCACTGGATCTGTATACACTAAGTTCTCACAAGCTACGGTTTTTATTTGGGAATTCTCAATTGCAATGCTTAAACCATGGGTTTATCATTGCAGTTTTGAATTCCCAAATAAAAACTGTAGCTTATGAGAATTCTGGTATTCATAGTCTGTGCTATGAACAGCAGCAGGAGAGGTCAGACAACATAGGAGTCAGATGGCTAATGATACTGAAACAAGACCTGCTCTAATGGGGGTTTCTCTCCAAGTGTGATACTTCCCTTCTTTGAATAATAAAATTAAAAGATTTTTACTAAAACCCAACATATTATGTATGTTAAGATCTGTGTACTTTACTAAAGATTTAAAGCAAAAGGAAAAACAATAAGAAAAAACACTGAACTCTAGTGAATGATATGCATGTTAAAGTATTTGGGCAAAGTAAACTTTACAATGCACTTAAAAACAGACTACTTGGAAGGATGGATAGAGGGATAAATAGATATGGGAATAAAATAAGCATAGTAAAATGTTTATGGTAGAATCTAGGTTGTAAGTTTACAGGTATTCACTGTAAACTTTGCTTATGTTTGAAATTTTTTATAATAAAATGCTGGGGAAAATGTCAACATACTAACAGAAATCCTTAGCAAACTCTATATACCACAACTTAAAAGGTGACTCATCAGACAAAACAGGAGAGGATGGAAATTTTCTTTTTTTTTCTTTCCCTTGTATCTGTGATGGCCCCAAGCCTCTGAAATGCAAAACTCTAGTCCACCCTTCTTGCCAACCACCGGCTTGATGATAAACCCTTCCAACTGAAGCAGGGCCCATCTTAAGACTGCCAGGACTCATTTAAGATGACTACAATATAGTGTCGCATTTTTTGATGTCACCTACTCAATCTATCTAAATGGCTCATTTACCGATGGAATAAAAGAGGAAAAAGAAAAATAATAAACATCTCCAACATATAATGTTCTAGAGTATTTTGGAAACATAGATATACTTAGGTTGGTCTTCCTAAAATTTTTACTTTGCTTTTTAAATTCCCTGAGGCAGGAGAATTGCTTGAGCCAGGAGTTTCAAGACCAGCTCTGGGCAACATAGTAAGGCCTCATCTCTACCACAACAACAAAAATTTTAAGCCAGATATGGTGGCACGCACCTGTAGTCTCAGCTACTTGGGAGGGTGAGGTGGGAGGATCACTTGAGCCCAGGAGGTCGAGGCTGCAGTGAGCTGTGATTGAGCCACTGCACTCCAGCCTAGGCCACAGAGTGAGACCCTGTCTCAAAAAATAAAAAAGGAATATAGAAAGTTCCTTCTAGCCCTTTCCAGTCAACATCCTTCCCCACACTCCCCTAAATCTGGGCATCCACAACTCTGATTTCTATCACCATAGGTGGTAGTAATAATGCATTGTATCATGCACTATGTAATTTTTTCCCTCTGGTTCCTTTTGTTAACATAGTATCTTTGAGATTTATCCATGTTGTATGGAGCAATGGTTTGTTTCTTTTTATTGCTGAGGAGGAATCCATTTCATTAATACCTCAGAATTTGTTTATATATTCCTATATTGATGGACACTTGAGTTGTTTCCAGTTTTGGGGTAGTATAAAGAAGGTTGTTAAGAGCATTTTTATATAAGAATGGCTACAGTTCTTTTGGGTACATACCTAGGAGTGAAATGGCTGGGTTACAGAGTAGGGGGATATGTTCATTACAAAGTGCCAAAAGTTTTTCAAAGTGACTGTGCCACTTTACATTCTGACCAGTAATATATGAGTTTCAGACACTCCACTTCCTCACCAACTGTGGTATTGTCAGTCTTTTTTATTTTAGGTATTCTAGTGGGTATAAACCAGTATCTCACTGCGGTTTTAATTTGTATTTCCCTGACAACTAATGATGTTGCACACCTTCTCATGGGTTTATTGGGCATTTGTTTATCTTTTTTTCTGAAGGTCTGTCCAAGTGTTTTGCCTTTTTTTTTTTTTTTTTTTTTTTTTTTTGAGACAGAGTCTCACTCTCTCACCCAGGCTGGAGTGCAGTGGCTTGATCTCAGCTCACTGCAAGCTCCGCCTCCTGGGTTCAAGTCATTCTCCTGCCTCAGCCTCCCGAGCAGCTGGGACTACAAGAGCCCGCCACCACGCCCGGCTAATTTTTTATGTTTTTAGTAGAGATGGGGTTTCACTGTGTTGGCCGGGATGGTCTCGATCTCCTGACCTTATGATCCGCCCGTCTCAGCCTCCCAAAGTGCTGGGATTACAGGCGTGAGCCACCGTGCCCGGCCACCTATTTTATTTTCTAATCTGAATTGATCTTGAAGGGAGTTTTAACTGGATCTCTCTGGATCCACAGACTAACTTCAAGGCAGCATAAATTCTGTGACTTCAACATGCATATCATTTATTGGAGTTCAGTATTTTTTCCTTTTTTTGCTTTAAAACTTTCATATAGTAATGTACACAAAGCCTAACTTTAAGCTGCATTGACAAGCTGTACTAGAACGAAGGCTTCCCACAGATAAGGATTTTTGTCTGTTTTGTGTATCGTTAATCCCCAGAGCCTAGAGAAGTGCCTGGCACACATTGTGGGTGTTCAGTTAAGTATTTTTAGAATAAATGAATAAACACATGTATTTTCTACTTTGCAGGTAAAGGGAAACAAGAAGAGAAAACAATTTATTTTCTTGGCTTCACTGTTAAAATAGTGCCACTGTTTTATACTTGTTACACCCTTCTTCTTGTATCTGGGAAAGCTTTCCTCTAAAAGCCAGGGCTTGGCTATAGGGTGAGGGTTTCTAGAGTCAATGACCAAGGGCTCTGCATACAGTATGTATGTGGATTTGCTGGGTTAAAATTAAAATTAAAAAAAAGAAGAAGAAGAAGAAGAAGGAGAAGAAGAAGAGGACTCCCAGGAAGGCAGACAAGGAACAAAACGCCTAATGAAGCTAGTGAGACCGCTGATACTTCCTGGAACCGTCCTTTCCTGGAATCTCTCAAGGCTCCCAAGCAGAAGTTGTTTACGTCTGGAAACAGATAAATACTCTATCACTTGAGCCTCTGTTTATAGTGAGGGCTCACCAAGGGAAAAGAGTTCAGTCACTAAGCTGTGAAAACCAGGAGAGAATTAAGATTTTTGGTGGAGAAACACAATCACCATGGCTAGAAAATATGTCTGCCTCCCAACAGTGGAGATGCCAATTACATGTCAGCTTGATAGAGGCCTAAAGAAGAACAATCTTTGGTCCAAAGCCACGCAGGAGAACAGGCAAAGGTGGCTGCTTACCCCAGTTTTCCTAATCTAAGTCTGCAATAATACCTGTAGAGTCCGGCGCTTGTTATCTTCTGTGTGAATCCAGGCTCGAAGAGTCAACTCTGTGATAAAAATCTGGGCTGCCTTGGCAAAGAGTACAGGCGCTTCTGCACTGATCATCTGTAACAGACACAGGCCCTCCCTGTCAATCACCAGCAAGTCATTCAAACCAGTCTGTCTCTTGCCTCATTGCCTGGCATGGGACTATGGGGCAAGGGTCAAAAAATGAGGTGGTATGCTCAAGAGATTCCAAGGTAAAATAAATTCATGAGTAGGAATAAAGCAGGGAACAGGGAGAAAGAATACTTATTTAGCACCTACCATGTGCCAAACCTTGTGCAAGGTGCTTTCTTACCCTTATAATAGCCTTTCAAAGAAACTAGGGTTTAAGAGAGATGAAGTGACTTGCCCATAGCCATAGAGCCAGTAAGTGGCAGGGTTTAGGTTCTAATCTAAGGAGAAACAATATGGGGAAGGAGAATGAGCTTGAAAGCCAATGGATTTGGGTAAAACTGCAGGCTTCCCATCCTTTTGGGCTTTGTTTTTCACACACTGAAAAAGAGGATAACCTTCCAGTTTTATTGTGGCAATCAAATGAGATAATATATGTACCCAGCACAGGACTTGGCACATAGGAAGTGCTCAAGCCATATAAACTTGATGTGTCTGATTTCAAAGTTGAAGCTCTTGGTCAAACAAGGTTCTAAACCTTTGGTGAGGTAGTCTGTGCAGGCTACAATCACAGAAAGAGCTCTGGAGTTAAAGCAGCAGCAGATGGGAAATGCGATCTTGGTCCTAGCACTCTGGGTGAGTCACTTAACCTCTTTGTGTCTATTTCCATTATCTGTAAAACGGAACTGATAATTCTTGTTATATCAAATCTCACAGGGCTACTGTTAGGAAGAAAGGAGCTAATAAAAAGGAAAATTGCTATCAATTGTTAGCTTTCTGTGAAAATACAAAAGACTATTAATTTTGAGTGGTAAAGAGACAGAGTTCCTCTTTCTCTGAGATCTATAATGGAGATGGACTCCTAGGAATACAGAAATGGCCAAGCCCAAGCAAACCCTCTCACAAGTGTTATTCATGTAAAAGAAACTCACAGATCAAAAAGTTAGAGCAGGTTGAATATCATTATCAAAAATTTCTTAAGAGTTCAGATCAACAAACTATATAAGATGCTAAGATGATGGCACTGTCCTGTTGACTTGATGATACACGTATATGCTACACTGTGAAAGGAACTGTGAGATACCGGCTGGGCATGGTGGCTCATGCCTAATCCTAGCACTTTGGGAGGCCGAGGCTGGAGGACTGCTTGAGTCCAAGAGTTCGTGACTAGCCTGGGCAACACAGTGAGATCCTGTCCCCTGCTCCAAAAAAACATTAAAAATTAGCCAGGCATGATGGCATGTGCCTATAGTCCCAGCTACTTGGGAGGCTGAGGTGGGAAGATCACTTGAGCCTGGGAGGTAAAGGCTACAGTGAGCCATGATTATGCCACTGCCCTCCAGTCTGGGTGACAGAGTGAGACCCTGTCTCAAAAAGAAAGAAAAGGCCAGATGCGGTGGCTCACATCTGTAATCCCAGCACTTTGGGAGGCCAAGGCAAGCAGATCACCTGAGGTCGGGAGTTCAAGACCAGCCTGGCCAACATGGCGAAACCCCGTCTCTACAAAAAATACAAAAATTAGCTGGGTGTGATGGCAGGCGCCTGTAATCCCAGCTACTTGGGAGTCTGAGGCATGGGAATTGCCTGAACCTGGGAGGCAGAGGTTGCGGTGAGCCAAGCTCACACCACTGCACTCCAGCCTGGATAACAGAGTAAAACTCTCAAAAAAAAAAAAAAAAAAAAAGAAAAAGAAAAAACAAAAACCAACAACTACTATTTTTTCAACATCTAAAAAACCCAGGATATCCTTAATTTTCAGGATGATCCATATAGTAACCAAAACTGCTCAATTTTGGCTCACTTAACAATTTTAAACAGGAATCAAATAACAAAGCAACAGACAGTAATTTTTTGTGTGTTCTTGTTTAATTAAACTTTGAGCTCTAGAGCAATGAACAATAACCTACCCATCACTCAGCTTCAATAAGAAATAATAAAAATGAATGTGAATTCACCTTCACATCTTCATCCAGTTTCATAATCTTCTTAATACGAGCCAATGGGAGTTCCTGCACTCGGAAGTCTTTCTGAAATGAACAACAAGAGATGCATAAATGGTGGGCACAATCAACAGTGTGGCAAAGCATGACAGGCAGCAGGAAGCACTCTGGCTTAATCCCTCTCTTCAGGAAGTCGGGAGAGGAGGTACAGATGAAATGAAGAAAATACAAGCTCCAGAGCAAAATTCTTCTTAACATATGCAGGTCTTCAAAGAATTAGTGGGCTTTAGAAAAAGCTTAGGATGGCCTCTAACAGTGCCCTCATGAAACGGAGCCCCAAGCAATATCTGTTTTTTTTGGTTTGTTTGTTTTCGTCAGCACATAAAGGGACATTATGAGTGCCTTCACTTTTTTTCCAAGTAAGTTTACCAGTCTGCAATATGCAGATTAAAATGAGATTTCTGTCTCAGGGGTATTCCTCTAAAGTTCCAGTTCTTTCTTCCATTCAGTGATAAACTGTAACAGTAACGCCGGGGCACTTGACCACAGTGACCCACAGTTCTTCACAGCTGACAGTGGCTATTTCTGATATTTGCACTAACTTGTCAACAGAAATTGGGGAGGAGAGCTCCTTTCCCATCACAGTAGCAATGGCCTTGTCTCCAAAATTTGTTTCAAGTGGGGGTAGAGGAGTACAGAAAAAGGATGAGGGTGGATTTATCAGCTGCCTTTTAGGAACAGCTGTGTTATTTTTTCTTAAACAAGCCTGGAGTGGGGGAGGACCATATAACTTCACTGTGGATATAATTTAGTAAAGGGCTTTTGACCAGCACTACTCAATAATTTGAGATTTAAGCCCTTTTTTGTTTTATTTGGAAACTACTGGTATTTAAACGCATGCCCAATGATGGATGCAATTCTAGGAAAAAAATCAATTTTGAGTTTCTGAGCTGCAATGAAGAGAAAGGTGCAAAGGCAGATATTAGCTAAAATCAGCAAAATCTCTACTGGGACTAGGTGTCAAATGATTGACTCTATAAGTGGTCTGAAATATGACTCACTAAACCCAATATGCTCACCTGGAAATTTGCATCATCACATTATGGAAGAAACAGCTATTATTTGAGATTAGATGTAATTAACAAGCATAAGTGAACTTTCTTTTCCAAGACCAACAGAAAATCTCAAATATATGTCAAAAAAGTTATTTTGGAAAACCATCAACAGTCTTCCCAGAACCTATTTTACGATTACAGAAAGAAGAGAATCTATTAGGATAAAATGTACACCAAGACATCTAATTTTTCCACGCAAACCCAACAAGCTGCTTGGCTACCACTCTGCTCTACAAACTTCAAACACCAATTTTTCATCTTTTCCTTTTCCAAATTAGGTATCAACATTTTCCATGAAGCCTCTACTAAAACTAACCCTGGAGTAACGGGGACTTAGAAGTTCAGTTTATTAAAATTTCAACAAAAGGAAATAGTAGCACAGATTCATTCTATTCTTGTTTTTCCCCTTGCTCTTTCACTTACTGATTCAAGCAACTCAACTAATAGTAAATGTATGATACCTACTACTATGCAAAAATACACATGTAGGCCAGGCACGGTGGCTCATGCCTGTAATCCCAGCACTCTGGGAGGCTGAGATGGGAGAATTGCTTGAGGCCAGGAGTTTGAGACCAGCCTGGTCAACACAGTGAGACCCCATTACTATTTAAAAAAGAAAGAAAGAAAAAATACACATCTACTCCTACCTTTGAAAAGCATGTGGTTTGTCAGAGACAGTCACATGAAAACATTATGATCCCCTATCCAAAACTGGAAGGGAGGGATATAAAATCCCACGGGGACACAAAGAAGGACACGTTGCTAGGGACAGCTAGCAATGTGGGGCTGGAGGGAGAGTAAGGGATTGGAAATGTTCCACAAAGGGGATGACATCTGAACTGTGTCTAAGGGATTCTGGGAATTTGCCTGTTGAAAAAGTATGAGAATGTTATTCAGACAGAACAACAAAGACAGAGATACAAAAAAATCATAGTCTATTTAAGTTTTAGATCTACGACCTGAGTACAGAGGGGAGAAGCAGGAAAGAGGATACTGGGTTGGAGCCAGATCCTTAAGAGATTTTTTTTAAAGTTTAATCCCAGAAATCAACCACTGGTCTTCCTTCTTGTGTGGCATATCACAGAAGATGATGACACTACACAGAAATGCCAAAGAGAATGCTAGGGATGATCATTCCTTTGGAAAGCCTCCCAGGCTGATACATACAGCACAAGATGATCATAGATTTAGCTCTCTTGCAAGTGTGCTCTCATTTGGCTTGGTTTTAAATATAATTTGTACAAGAATGTTCCATGATTACTGAACTAAAGCACAAAGCTGATAAAAAAGACCTCTTTCCCCAAATGGAAAGAGTAAAATATTACTCCTTCAATTTCTATTCTTTAATCAAAAGCAACAAAAGTCAAGGATCAAGAGATCATTCCCGTCTTGCAGAGATGTAAAATGCGGCAGAAATTTATAATAAGCTCTGCTTTAATCTCCTTCCCAAAGCTTTTATTTGTGACAAACTATTTTTCCATGTTCCTGAAACCTTGAGATCTCAAGGAGCAGTGTGTAAAAGTGGATCTTGAGGTGTGTGTATGGTTCAACCCTGTTGACAATCACCCAGTTTTCTATTAATCCTATTGTAGCTTTCTAGTTACATGTAAGGATTTACCATAAGCTTGTTGGAAAGAGGAGGCCCTCTACAAACAGTAGACTGAGGCCCCCGAAACTTGGATTCATGCTCCCCACTTCACTGGCTACTATGTAACTGAAGGGAGTAACATTTAACTCCTTAACTCCTTCTCCTGATACTGATCCAACTGGAAGAACAGCTGACACATACTTTTTTCCCCCCTACTTTTGGGAGTTACATCAGTAAGGAGAAGAGCAGATTATCTTTCAGAACATTCTCATGCTCCTGACAACTACCAAAGAACTATGTTAAAAATGCTGTCATCTGAAACTGCTGCATTTCAAGACAAATTCAAAACTGAATTCACTCAATGAGAGTTTGGAGCCAAAGAAAAGTCAGCGGATCTTGGGCTGCACTAAAGAACATCCAGAGTTTCAAATAATAAAGAGAAATCTTTTCCAGGCCTACCCAGTCAGGCACTCTGGCAAGTCAAGATTCTCAACCCTTGTGAAAGCAATGATTCTCAATCTTGGGGCTACACATTAGAATCACCTGAAAAGCTTTTGAAAAACAAGATGCCTGAGCTCTCTCCTGGAGACCAGCTGAATCAGGAACTCTAGGTCAGTGGTCCCCAACCTCAGGAACCAGTTTTGTGCAAGACAATTTTTCCAAGGATGGGCAGGGTGGGCATTAGATTCTCATAAGGAGTGTGCTACCTAGATCCCTCACACGTGCAGTTCACCATAGGGTTCACATTCCTATGAGAATCTAATGCCGCTGCTGATCTAACAGGAGGGGGAGCTCAAGCGGTAATGCTTGCTCACTGGCTACTGACCTCCTGCTGTGCAGCCCAGTTCCTAGGTTCCTAACAGGCCATGGACCCATACAGGTCTATGGCTCAGGGCCTGGGGACCCCTGCTCTAGTGGGTAGAGTACTGGCATCATGTTTTTTGAAAACTCCCCTGTGACTATGATCCAAGTGAGAGTTAAGGACTACTGCTTTATAGCCCTGCTACTCAAAGCAAGGTCCTTGGAGCAGCAATGGTATCACCTAGGAACTCAAAAGAAACAGAATCCCAGGTTCCGTTCCTAACCTACTAAATCAGCATCAATATTTTAAGAAGATCCTCCCTCATGTGGTTCATACAGACAATAAAGTTTGAGAAGCACTGCTCTACAGGATTGGCTCACACAGCACAGGTCCTGTTTTGTAACAGTCCACCAACCTTCACCACCAAGTTCTTGTTTAAACAGTTATCTGATTTGATTGTGATGTTAGAAATGTCATCACCCAATCAGAAGGCACTGAGGAATGAAAAGATGAAACTGCCAATTAAAAGAAAGTGACCTAGGCACTGAATTACAGTAAACTGAAGGCTGAATGGGATGTAAAGTAGTAAGTACAGAATTAGATTTTTCTTTTCGAAATTCAGTTTTGTTGCCCAACTGCCCCCAACTCACCTCCGTAAAGACAAAGTTAGCTTTCTCTTTCCTATTTTCAAAGAGGCCCAGTGGGGCAAAACTCAACATGAAGAAGTCTGTTATATATTGTTCCCAGAGCTCTGCTGTGCAGGAATATAGTATTTTACACAATCACTCTGGGAAACAATCATCTTGGTATGGTTTTTAATTAATTTCAATCCGAGCTGAACACCACCTGGATTTACAGACAATTACAGAGCTTTTAAGAGTCAAGAGAACAAGCTAAAATGAAAGATATAAATTGCTTTTACAGGACTCAGACCAAAAGGACTTGAGGCCAGTGTTTCCAACACATCATGAAATACATCATCTAGCAAACTTCAATTACTTCTTTTTGGAACAATTTGTGTCCCAGTCTGAGATCACACCTTATGAATATTCTCATAAGTTTTACTTATGATTGGGTAGTTTAAACATAAGGAATTTTCTTTTTTCTTTTTTTAATCTGTTAGATATTTTGAGGTGTCAACCTAAGAGGCTCTGACACATCTGAGGAAGTCTGGTTTTAAGTATTGTTGAGTTCTGGAAAGGCACAGGTTAAATGCTAAAATGTTTGGTCATGTTACACAGGCAGCAGCGCAGTCAGAGAAGCAGATGCCATCACGTGTTGTGCTTCTGAGAAGAGGGGAAAATAAGAGTCATACAAAGGGAAAAAAATTACCTTGACTTTACTGGATTGCATTCTTACACTCAAACATGGAACTGATATTGCTTTGCACTAAACCTGAAGTGGCGTCTAGTTTGTTCAGATATTTATTGTGCACCTACTATATGCCAGACATTGTTCTAAGCACCTGATATAAAAGACATAGCTTGGCAGAGGTCTAGGAGTCCCTTTCAAAAGTACATAGGAGAATTTTAATTAGTCACCAATACAAGAATGACTAAAGACAACTTCCTCTTTACTTTTCTTTCTCTTCACACACAAAACCTGAACCAAAACTGAATCCCTCAAAGTAATTCTCTTTTAACTTCCGATAGACTAAAAGTCTAAGTACTAAAATTTGGTCAGCATCATGATCAGCTTTGTTGGCAATCAAACTTGTAAACCAAGCAGGTTACAAATCAAAGCCCAGGGTCTTGAAGAGGTATTTGCACACTCATGTAACACAGTAGCACTATTCACAATAGCCAAGAGGTGGAACCAACCCAAATGTCCACTAACAGATGAACAGATAAACAAAATGTGGTATATACATACAACAGGGTATGATTCTGCCTTTAAAAAAAAGGATAGGCCAGACATGATGGCTCACATCTGTAATCCCAGTAATTTGGAGGGCCAAGGCAGGAGGACTGTTTGAGGCCAGGAATTTGAGACCAGCCTGGGCAACAGTGACACCTCCATCTCTACATAAGATTTTTTTTTAAATTAGCCAGGTTGGTGGTGCACAACTAGAGTCCTAGCTACTTGGGGGACTGAGGAGACGGGGTCCCTTGAGCCCAAGAGTTCAAGGCTACAGTGAGCTATAATCCTGCCACTGCACTCCAGCAAAGAACAAAAGAGTAAGACCCTGTCTCTTTAAAAAAGAAAAAAACAAAGGCCACTCATGGTGGCTAACACCTATAATCCCAGCACTTTGGGAGGCGGAGGTGGGAGGATTGCTTGAGCCCAGAAGTTTGAGATCAGCCAGGGTAATACGGTGGGACCCTGCCTCTACAGAAAAATACAAAAATTAGCTGGGTGTGGTGGCATGCACCTGTAGTCTCAGCTACTCAGGAGGCTGAGGCAGGAGGATTGCTTGAGCCTGAGAGGTCGAGGCTGCAGTGAGCCATAATTGTACCACTACACTCCAGCCTGGAAGACAGAGTGAGACTCTATCTCCAAAAAGGAAAAAAAAGAAAAAAGATAAAAAAGGAAGGACATCCTGTCACATGCTTCAACAGACATGCTAAGTGAAATAAGGTAAGACAAAAAGACAAATACATATGTTGTTCTGCTTACAATGGGGTTACATCCTGATAAAGCTATTGTAAGTTGAAAAGATCCTAAGTTGAAAATGCATTTACTAAACCTAGCCTATCAAACATCATAGCTTAGCCTCGCCCACCTTAAATGTGCTCAGAACACTTACATTACCCTAAAGTTGGGCAAAATAATCTAACACAAACCCTATTTTATAGTAAAGTGTTGAGTATCTCATAATTTATTGAATAGTAGATTGAAAGTGAAAAACAGAATGGTTGAATGGGTACTCAAAGTACAACTGCTATTGAATGCACATCACTTTCTAACCACTGTAAAGTGGAAAAAACATTAAGTAGAATCATCGTAAGTAGGGGACTGTACGATATGATCCCATTTCTATGAGGTATCAAAAATAGTCAAATTCATAGAAATCAGAATGGTGGTTGTTTAGAGAGTGCACAGTTTCAGTACTGCAATATGAAAAAATTCTCAAGATAAGTTTCATAACAATGTGATTATACTTAACACTTCTGAACTGTACATTTAAAAATGGATAAGGGGCGAAATTTTATGTGTTGTTTTACTACAACTAAAAAAAAAAAAAATCAAAGTCCAACAAAACAGAAAAGTTAAGTGCTGAGCTTAAACCTCCAGAGTTTATCTGGCCACTTGCCTAATCCTGGATTTATGCCTCTCGGCTCAAGCTGCGGCACAGACTTGCTCGATTGGCCTAGTCCCACCACACCCCAGGAGAGCATTCATTTTAGACCAAGCTGACCCCAGCACCAAAAGCTGATAAGCGTAATCATGAGATTATCCCCCTAAAATATGAACAAAACACCCCATTTCTGACTTTATAGTTTCATTTCTCCCTACCTTCTCTTTTATATCTGAGACAGTTTAGAAAACTACTACCTTAGACTGCAGAAGAGGAACAATGACTTTTCAGTGGAAATCCACTCTGAACCCAGGCCAGTCTGAGAAAGGCCAAGCCAAGTTCAACTGCTGAAAACTCTTCATATAAACAAATGTGACCCAGAGGTATATCCAAAACATGAATTACTTTTCATCCCTGAAGTCAGTGGGCATTTATCATAATAAGTTATTTCATTCCATTAATTACTTGGTTTATTAGCCTGTCTCATCAGAATATATGTTCCATGAGTGCAATGATCCTGTCTGTCTGGTTCAGTGCAATGATCCTGTCTGTCTGGTTCATTACCATATCCACAGTATCTAGCATAGCCTTAGTTGGTACATAATAAGTATTTGTTGAGTGAATGAATAAACTGACATTGTAACGTCAGAAGGTAAAGGTCACTAACCCTAAGCAACTGCAACATTAATTCTACATCAGGAAGGAATCCAGTGTCTGCTCTGCCAGGATACTAGTATTTCCAGGGCAGGAATGACATAGCCAACACAGGGAACTCCTTCAGTATGTACTAAAATGACACCTTAATGAACATTCTTCATTAAGGACATGACAACTGTATTATGAAAATACTCCAACTCTAACCTGCCTCACCTTCCACTACCACTCTCACACCACATACTTACTCCTTCCCTCAACCTCCACTAAACACACAGTAACCTTCAGGCACTCTGAATGTCTTGATGTTCCTCTAACTATAAGGCCCTCCCCACTGGGCCTCCATGCCTTTATGCATGCCCTTGTCTTTGCCCTCCCATCCTTCACATCTGGTGAACGCTTACTCATATTTTAAGACTCAACAAAAATGTTCCCTTTACTTAAATCCTTACCTAACTCAACCACAAAGAAACAAGCACTATGTCCTTTGTGCTCCTTGACTTTTACTGCTTCAGGACTCATCAGTGTGCCTGATTCAGTAAGTACTTAATAAATACCTACTGACTAAATGAGTCTGGTTGTAATTACTAGATTGTAAGCTCCTCACAGGTCAAGGTTATATTTAATTATTGTGAGTCAGTAGTTCTCAACAGGGGATGATTTTTGCCCACAGGCACACTTCCCAATGTCTGGAGACATTTTTTGGTTGTCACAACTCGGGGAGGGGTGCTACTGGCATCTAGTGAATAGAGGCTAGGGGTGCTGCTAAACATGCTGTTATGCATAAGACGGCCCCTCAGAACAAAGAATTATCTAACCCAAACTGTCAATAATGCAGCTGTTGAGAAACAGTGATCAAAGTGTATCTTTTTAACACTTGGAAAGAGTTCCTGGCTCACAATAGATTTGTTGTTGAATAAATTGTCCAATAGTTTTCACCAAGTTCTAGAAATGTGGCAGGACCATTAAATCAGGCCTAAAAAATTGAGCTAGAGCTACAGAAGGAAGATGAGATCTCTGTTTTCCTACAAGTCCTAAAGGATATGCCTCACATTAAACTACCTCCAAGTCAAAGTATCCACTACACACCACATGCTTATGGAAGACCACTGAGATATAAAAGACACTCTTGCAGTTACCTCACAGAAGGCAAATGTTTTCATTTTCCTACCCACAGGTCAGGGATGAACTATGCCTCGTAAATGTGCTTGAAATTAAAAATGCTTTAGTCTGAGTTTTGGTTAATTTCCCATAGCCCTTATACTCTTTAAAAGTTTCTAATAAAAGTTTCTCATTCTTCCTCACCACTGTTAAATTCCGGATTTCTTCCATGACCCGAGGCCAGAATGACTGTAGGCTTTGCTGGGCATCACTGCTGCTAGTACCACCAAATCCTCCTTCTGTGGACATCGTGACAACTGAAAATAAACATATACATAAGACACATTAGAAACAATAAAGTCAGACTTTCTGTCCAGATTAGGCATTTGTATCTTTGTGGATGTTTTTATGAATCTATTAATTTTTCAGTTTGATAAGGTATATAATTATACTAAAAAGATTTTAACACAGACTTACATCTTAAAAACATTGGTAGGAAAGTTTTTCCTTCTATCTAGCTTATACCATAGAGACTGCTAAAGAGCTCCAACTAGAAAATCAAAAGTTGCTAGAAATGTAAGCTGAAATCCTAATGTTAATCAAGGACTTTTAACTTCTTACATGGGTGTGGGGTGAGGAAAGTATTTTGTTGCCCTAGTCTAGCCCATAATTTTCAATGCCATTCCCTCCAAAGCTTTTTCAAATTCTCTGTGGCTTCTCATACTCCATGCCACAGCCTTCAGCAAATTTTTATATTAAAAGTCCCCAGTGATTAGTACTGTACAGAAATGTAAACCCAGAGTCTTAAAAGATAAAAGCCAAGCTGGGCACAATGGCGCATGCCTGTGGTTCCAGCTACTCAGGAAGGTGAGGCAGGGGGATCACTTGGGCCCAAGAGTTCCAAGACAGCCTGGGCAACACAGCAAGCCTCTGTCTCTTAAAAAAAAGAGTGTGTGTGCTAGGTTTCTTCTTTTGTTTTAGACACTGTGGTCCCGTTTCTCTGGGGCTCCTGATGATGATGATTCCTTCTAATCTCAGGCAAATCTGCCTCAAAGGACATGAGGCCAATAACTGTGTAGGTAACATGAAGCCTCTGAAATGAAACTACTTGCCAGTTCTTCCCGAACCTGAACCATGTTATTAAACATAAAGCCTAACACAGCACACTGGCAACTGGAAGCCTTAAAGACAGTTAAAAAAAACAAAGCAGAGGCCAGGTGCAGTGGCTCACACCTGTAATCCAAACACTTTGGGAAGTCGAGGCAGGTGGATCACCTGAGATCAAGAGTTCGAGACCAGTCTGGGCAACATGGTGAAACCCCATCTCTACTAAAAATACAAAAATTAGCCGGGCATGGCGGTAGATGCTTGTAATCCCAGTTACTCGGGAGGCTGAGGCAGGAGAATCACTTGAACCCAGGAGGCAGAGGTTGCAGTGAGCCAAGATCATGCCATTGCACTTCAGCCAGGGCAATAGAGCCACACTCCATCGCAAAAAAAAAAAAAAAAAAAAAAAAAAAAAGAATTAAAATTAGGATACAGAAAGAGGGCTAGAACCTGCATTTAGTCAACTGCTTTGTGACAAAGGAGGGAAGATATGAATAAGGATCCCCATATCAGCTATAACTGTATAACTGTAGATAACACAGGTTGAGTATCCCTTACGTGAAATTCTGAAATGCCTGGGACCAGAAGTGCTTGGGATTTTGACTTTTTTTTTTTTTTTTTTTTTTTTTGAGACGGAGTCTCGCTCTGTCGCCCAGGCTGGAGTGCAGTGGCCAGATCTCAGCTCACTGCAAGCTCCGCCTCCTGGGTTCACGCCATTCTCCCGCCTCAGCCTCCCGAGTAGCTGGGACCACAGGCGCCCGCCACCTCGCCCGGCTAATTTTTTGTATTTTTTAGTAGAGACAGGGTTTCACCGTGTTAGCCAGGATGGTCTCGATCTCCTGACCTCGTGATCCGCCCATCTCGGCCTCCCAAAGTGCTGGGATTACAGGCTTGAGCCACCGCGCCCGGCCTTTTTTTTTTTTTTTTTTTGAGACAGAGTTTCGCTCTTGTTGTCCAGACTGGAGTGCAGTGTTGCAATCTCAGCTCACTGCAACCTCCGCCTCCCAGGTTCATGTGATTCTCCTGCCTCAGCCTCCCAAGCAGCTGGGATTACAGGCATCTGCCACCAAGCTTGGCTAATTTTTTGTATTTTTCGTAGAGATGCGGTTTCATCATGTTGGCCAGGCTGTCTCAAACTCCTTACCTCAGATGATCCACCTGCCTCGTCCTCCCAAAGTGCTTGGATTACAGGCGTAAGCCACCAAGCCCAGTCCATTTTTTTTTTTTTTTTTGATTTTGGAATAAGTTTGCATTATACTTACTGGTTGAGCATCCCAAATCTGAAAATCCAAAATCCAAAATGAGTATTTCCTTTGAGCGTCATGTCAACGTTCAAAAAGTTTCGGATTTTAGATTTTCAGAGTAAGGATACTCAACCTGTATTATAATGTCTTAAGCGCTTATCTGGCAAATATTTAAGTGCAAGAACAGTTTAAACACAAAGAACGGAGAAATTTAGTGCTCTCCTAAGAATTTCTATTCTGAGGAATTATTTGAAAAGGTTTAACATACCAGTGACGGGATGCTGGCAGAGAACTATGTGAGTCATTAGGAACTAATTCTGAGGGGCTGAAAGCAAGCACCAAAGCCAGTTGTCACATGACTAGACTTGTTACTTTCCAGGCTCCATGTGGATACACACTGAGCAGAACACCCTATCACAGCAGAATGGAATGAAAGCTGACAACTCTAGGTTTAGCCTGTGGGGATATCCAATTCACTGTTAAATGTTTACAGGTCTCTGATTTTTTTTCTTTTTTTTTCTTCCCTTTCCCTTCTAAAGGAAATAATGAGGGGAAAGGGAAGGAAAACAAAAATACAAGCTTCAAAACAGATTTCATTCTGGTGTAATGACATTAGTGGGTGATGATGTAATGGGAATAGGTTTGGAGCCAATTTCTTGTGGTGGAGGCCTACAAACAGCTGAACAGAAATTCTTGTACCTGGGATACAATATGATCTTGGAGTTTCTGAAGGGAGTTAAAGGGAAGTGTTCGATCACAGTTGAAAATGACTAGATAAAATCTTAAGTCCTAAATAACCAAGTAAGACCCCTGCATTTTCATTTATCACCACATACACATGGCCTATATGCTACTCTCTTAGATACACTAAGAACAACAACAACAACAAATTAAGGTAATCTAAAGTAGTTTAGTTATTAATCATTATCAATAGTTTCCTATAAGGTACTCATGAAAGTGAAGAGAGTGACTCAATTTAACCTTTTTAAATGGGGCAAACAAAAATATCTTTCTGGAAATAAAAACAATTATCAAAAAACTTTAAAAGAATCTAACCTTTTATTGCATGGGTCCCTGGACAGGCCTCATCTTGGCACAATCTGCCATGCAAACTGCTAAGGTCAAAGGAGAAAGATGCGCAATTGCCAGGATGATATCTCTGTATACTTGCTAATGGATGAGTAGGTTTAGCTGGAGTACAAAGATCTGTACAATTTAAAAGTCTGGTAACAAATTCTGGCTGTCCTCTGATATCCCCCCAAAACATTACAAAGGTACACAATTCAAAAAGCACGTCTAGAACCATCTGTGCAGTCTGTTTTTAAATTTTGAACTGTCCCAACTACGGATGTGCAGGCATGATCAGCCTCCAAACATCTGTTTAGTCAACAGATCATGAATCTGTGGCTGGCTCAGAGCCACATGCTGTGGTAGTGGAAGTTAGGTACAAAACAGAAGTTATCAAATTTTTTTGGAACTGAAAATGTATTAAAGGTTAAGTTTTAAAATTGAGAAGCCTATCTACATTAGGAAATCCCAAATAGGTAAATGCAAAAAATACAAGTCAATAATATCCTTTACATTTTACTGCATCACAGAAGTTTAGGACTGAAAAAAAAAAGACATAAGGAGACCCTCAGGCCCACCTGTTTATAAGATGCTCGCAGCTTTTCTTCAACCTCTGCCCAACCCCAGGTGATTCTATCTTAAGTGGTCAATTGCCTTACATTTGAGGGCCCCCTACTCGAGTTCCGGGAAACTGGCTTAGTGGTAAGACATTCTTTCCCATCTTTGGACAGCTCTAACTGTTCTTCTTTACATTAGGTTTTAGAGTTACGGCCTTTATGGTTTTTCCATCCAGCAAACTCTTTTTATAAATTCCTGACTTCAAAAGACAAAGGTAATCTTCCTTTGAAGGACATAAGATCTTCTCACAAGGAAAAAAGAGAAAAAGGTTTGGAGCATGTTTTCTAACACCTTTGCAGATATTATTAGTAATGTCTCTTAGAAGAACATAAATTGTTAATGTAAATTCCTGGAAAAAGTGAGTACTTTTAGTCAAAAGGCTTTCCATAAAGCAGATCCATTCTTTGCATGGAGCTTTAAAAACACCCAACAATTAAAATTATATATATAAAGCAGGCCAGGCATAGTGGTTCACGCCTGTAATCCCAGCACTTTGGGAGGCCAAGGCTGGTGGATCACCTGAGGTCAAGAGTTCGAGACCAGTCTGGCCAACATGGTGAAACTCTGTCTCTACTAAAAATACAAAAATTAGCTGGCTGTGGTGGCACATGCCTGCAGTCCCAGCTACTCAGGAACCAAGGAGGTGGAGGTTGCAGTCAGCCAAGGTCACACCACTGCACTCCAGCCTGGGTGACAGAGCGAGACTCTGTCTCAAAAATAAATAAATAAATAAATAGATAGATAGATAAATAAATAAATAAATAAAGCAACCTTAATCACCACCTCTTATCTTAATGCATTAATTGCAAATAAACTGATTTTGCTACAGAAGTCGTCCATTTACAACATCTACAAGCCCATGGGTTCATCTTCTAGGATAATAAGGGAAAGAAAATATTTAAAAGTAAGAGGAGGCTGGGTGCTGTGGCTTACATCTATAATCCCAACAACTCCAGAGGCTGAGACAGGAGAACCACTTCAGGCCAGTAGTTTGAGACTAGCCTGGGTAACACAGTGAGACTCTGTCTTTAAAAAAAGGTTTTTTGTTTTTTTTTTTTAAGCCAGGGGCTGTGGCTCATGCCTGTAATCCCAGCACTTTGGGAGGCTACGGTGGAGGATCACTTGAGGTCAGGAGTTCAAGACCAGCCTGGCTAATATAGTGAAACCGTTTCTACTAAAAATACAAAATAAATTAGCCGGGCGTGGTGGCACATGCTTATAATCCCAGCTACTTGGGTGGCTGAGGCAACAGGATCACTTGAACCTGGGAAGTAGAGGTT